GGAGACACCGTCAATTTGTAAGACATACCATCATTTTATGTGCTGCTAAAAAGGAAACACTGACAATTAAACTATGACATACTAACATTTGAAAGATGCATCCCAACTTCAAAATGAACAAAGTAAGGAGGTGTGAACTTTTGAGTGAAACACAAACTATACCAGGCTCTGCTTATATGATCACCAAATGTCTGGTGTGCAGAAAGGAAAAAAAAGTGTTCCCCTCTGCTGTGATACCACCAGATCCAAGAGAAAAAGAAAATATGTCTTACATAGGTAGAATGCTATTTATTATTACGAAAATGAAAAACAAAAACTGGTTTTCTAAAAGGTGTTTTTGTTTTAACTTTTTATCTAGTCAATGTCTAAAAGCTTGACACTACAAAGTACAACATGTACAGTTCTTGTTCAAGGGAAGCTAAAATCTGAAGGAACCCCACCCTGCAAATAAAAGTTTCTCAATTTGATCCATAGCTTGCTGGTAATTTAAACTTCCAAGAAAATTATGTCTGATAGTAGTATTTTTCAGACTTTAATGTACATACAAAATCACCGAGGGTCTTGTCAAAATGCAGATTCAATAGGTCTGGGGTAGAGTCTGAGATACTACTTTTTTTTTTTTAATATATTTTATTGATTTTTTTTTTTTACAGAGAGGAAGGGAGAAGGATAGAGAGTTAGAAACATCGATGAGAGAGAAACATCGATCAGCTGCCTCCTGCACACTCCCTACTGGGGATGTGCCCGCAACCAAGGTACATGCCCTTGACCAGAATCGAACCTAGGACCCTTGAGTCTGCAGGCTGACGCTCCATCCACTACGCCAAACCGGTTAGGGCTGAGATGCCCAGGTGATGATGATGCTATTGGCCCATGGACTTGGAGGAGCAAGATTTTATAAGGTTTATAAAGCATTTTTTCAATATATTACCTAGCCATATGAATTAGACTTTTGGTGTTTTAATTATCCACATTTTGCAGATGAGAAAATTAAGATCCAGTTGAGACTTAAACCCCTGACTTCTATCTGCATTACACTGCACAAAGTTTTTAAAGTAGCACTGGTTACCTAAAATAAATGCAATGGAGTCTAGAAAAGCAAGTCATCAAGTTTTATGACCCAAATGAATTGCTATGAGTGTGCATGCATCCTCCAGGTCAGAAGGCAGTCAATCTACAGATAAGCAGAAAGGCCTTCCCAAAATGTTTTTTCTAAAAATCTTTCTTCCAAGGTTAGGGTAGTCTTCACCCTAATCCAAGTTTACAGTGGTCTTCCTTATTTCCCTGGGCACCATAAACCAGAAAGACAGAAATTATGAAGGATAGCCCTAGCCAGTGTAGCTCAATTGTTTGAGTCTTATCCTATGCACCATAGGTTTCTGGTTCGATTCCTGATCAGGGCACAAGCCTGAGCTGTGGGCTCGGTCCTCAGTCGGGGGCATGCAGGAGGCAGCCAATCAATGATTCTCTCTCATCAATGATGTTTCTATATCCCTCTTCCTTCCTCTCTGAAATCAATAAAAATATATTAAATAAATAAATAAATAAATAACTTGACCCTGGCTTAACTGGTCTTCTGAGGTTTCCTATTCTGAAAACCGCTATCCTGAAGTCCCTGGTTCCTATGTGCAATACCACCAAAAATTTACAGTATTAAGAACAAAATACTGCTGTCGAATTCTTATTGTCGGCTGAAAGTACTCTTATCACGGAAGCCGTAAGTACTAAACTGAATCCATGTGCAAAATCAAATGAACCTTAAAAGGCTAGACAAGAGTTAAATACCTTCATTCAAGTTGCAATCAGTAAAAACCTTACTAAAAATGGAAAACCACTGTACAATGAGTAGATTACTTTGGTTCTAAACCTCCTTTAACTGAAAAATTAATCAGAGCCTGGATTATCTGTTGTCAGTATCTGAGAATGACCACTTAGTACTTGTTTTGAGGTCTATCTACATTCATTCGTTCCTCAGAAATGATGTTTTCAGCTCTAAGGAGACTCAAGTGAGGCTTCTCCATGGCTTATGGAGGTAATGCTGGTACAGTCACCCAAAAAGTAAAAACACCTGAGTGCTCTGACCCATAAACCGCCCATTAGCCACCCTTTAGTTTAGTACAATTAGCTATAAGCCACACTTTGAAGGACAGGTTAGATTTTTTTTTTTTTTTTTGAGTTCAACTTTTCCAAGAAGATGCATGCATATCATGACAACCAAAAAGTGACTAAGGCCGAAACCAGTTTGGCTCAGTGGATAGAGCGTCGGCCTGCGGACTGAAGGGTCCCAGGTTCAATTCTGGTCAAGGGCATGTACCTGGGTTGCGGGCACATCCCCAGTAGGAGATGTGCAGGAGGCAGCTGATCGATGTTTCTCTCTCATCACTGTTTCTAACTCTCTATCTCTCTCCCTTTCTCTCTGTAAAAAATCAATAAAATATATTTTAAAAAAAAAAAAGTGACTAAGGTTTCCATGACCAGAACTTTGGTCAGATGTCATCCTAAGCAACAGGTAGAGCAAAGGCCAGGTTAGGTATAAGATCAGCAGGATACAACCACAAAGCGAAAAAGTAATTCACTGATCCTCAAGCATCCATCCACTATTGAATATGCCAATGTTGTAGCTTGATGTCACTGATCAGTCCTGCTATACCATCCTTTAGATCAGTGGTCGCCAAACTTTCGGACCTCACGGACCACCAGTGGACCCAGTCCTCAGACCACCTGTTGGCGATCGCTGCTTTAGATGGCACCCACGTCAAAATATGGAATAATATTTCATTATCCACGACCTTCCTCTGACAAGAAGCTGGAACACAGATGTGCAGAATTTTCATTTATCCTAATGCAAACCTCAGCTCAGTAGATTATCTGACTGTTAGAGTACAATTTTCTGAACTCTGTCCTGAGGTCTTAACTTCTGGTGACAATATTTTAAGAACTAAAAACCATTAGCCTCCCAAGATAACAAAGGATGACAGTTGCCTTCATAAATACAAATGCAAGACACAATGCAAAAGATACAGCTTTGTCACAGAATAATGAAACAATTGTTCAAAAAGAGAAAAACAGACAAAAATATTAATTCAATCCCAGAGCTTTATCTTTCTCTTTATTTCAATTATTTTTCTACCTCCTTCAAACTTCACAGTAACCTAGGCACATGCCACCTTGGATAATGCACAAGAATTAAAAACTGATCACATACATAACACAGGTTCCAGTTTACCACAGTAACAACTTACCTACACACAACACTAACTTTTCTTCTACAGTAAATAACTAAAAGTTATAGGCAGGAATAGACAGCACTTCCTAGAGAAATCTGGGTTCGTGAGCTAAAAATGTATGAGGACCAAAAAAAAAAAAAAAAAAAAAGAGGTAAGCTAGGGATAAGGTGAAAGAAGAAAAGTAGTTAACACCATTCTTCCCATGGAACAATAGGCAAATGATCATTTTTGCCTGATCCCATTCCCCACATCCAAAGGGTAGATCCTGTTCTTCCCAAGCAGCCTCTTGGGAAGGTTCAAATTAAAAGTATTTTCCTATCTGATCCACAAGCCACTAAATCTGACCTCTCCGTCTTTACAGCATCAAAAAACAATCAAGTCAGCTTCAGAATGGCTAGTTCTCAAGACTAAGACAAAAGCCCCAGTTTAGTTCCTTGATCTTCCTATGAGTTGTTGTAAGAGATCCTCTTCTGGCTAAATTCCTCACACCAAACTTCTAAGTGTGGAGCTAAGAGAAAACCAAACCAGTCTCTTAAAGAAGTTCATTTCATTTTTTTCTGGTTTTTCTACAAATTAAAAGCTCTAGGCCATGTTGAAGCAACACCTTAGATGTGCCTAGAATAAAGCCAATTCCGTGTGTACCTGGTTCTCTTCATGCCAACCAAGTCAACAATCATTCATTTAATATCACTAACATATTAAAGAATTGTACTTGACACTTGAAGCTGCACCAAAAACAAACTACTGTTACACTAAAGAAGTTTCAAGTGGAATGGGGGGAAATAAGACGAAGTCTCTGACACACAGCAACAGATATACGCCAATAAAAATATTGACAATAAATGCTATATGATAAAGATAGTTATGGAGGAAAAAATTAATATGATTTGAAGGAAAAAAGATGTCTTAAATCATTGCCAGCAAGTACTATTAGACCAAAAGGACTTCAGGGAGAGCTTTAAAAATGTACAAAACAATCTGACCTGGGGAAAAAGGAGGGGAAACAGAGTCATGGGGCCTCTCATGGCCTTCCTATCACAGATGAGGAAGTCAGAGATGAGGAAGACTCAAATGTTTCCATCTTAAGACTTCTAGATCTAGAAAGTCGATGCCATAGAAAGGGCTAGTTTTGAGAAAGGCTATCAAGAATGCCTGAGGAGGACTGCTTAGACTTAAAAGGAAAGAGACTATAGACAGGCAAGCTGCTTTGACTCAAATTTAGCATCAAAGTGGTCAATGGTGATGGACACACAAAAAAATTACAGATATAGAATTAACAGAATTTTTAATTTCCTGACAGGCTGGGTGTGAGAAGTATAGCTGTTCAAAGAAGGTCAAAGATCATTCTATAATTAAAACTTAGCTAGCAAAACAAGAATGATCCTACATAGCTGATCCATTTTAAGGGTTCTTGGGTGCTGACAAATCACTGCTTTCCAATCTATTCACTACTGACACCAGTTTCGGCTTTCTTTTTTCAAATTCCTACTCTTGTGTACTTCTGTTGTTTTAAACTAAAAATGGTATTTTCTGATAGACCAATGAACTGAAATCTAGATTTCAGTTCCTACCTCACATTACTATCAATGTGTCCCCAAAAAATATCATTTCTCTATGTTTAATAGTTTGGTTTACATCCCCTACTAATTTCAGTAAGTGTTTTTATAATACCCTCTAATTAGTGCTGTGAATATCTAAGGAAACTAAACAGGCATGTTTTGTTTTGGGGTTAAAAAAGAGAGATATAGGAACAAGTTCCTCAAGCCAACTTACAAATCCTCCTTTTCTTAGACAGGAATCTCCCGGGGATGAGCTCAACACATACTCCACCATGCTAACGCCTAGTCCCCCACTCTCCGACCGTGGGGACAGTACAGAATTGACCTCACTGTTCACATGGAAACTCTGACCAGGTCTTCTCTGCACCATGATTGGCTGGGAAACTGAATGATCTACAAAAAAGATACACAAGCATGATACAGTGCAGCCAGAGGCTCAAACAAATTATGAGTGATGTCTCAAGGATAAACCAATGACTGGGAGTCAGGAAACCTGCCACAGTCAGTTGAGCCAAAACCTCCTATTGTGTTTTCATACTAAATAACGAAGAAAACGGAACACACCCCTCATATATCCAGGACAGCAGAGCAATACAGCAGTTCACAGAACTGGTTTTCCTAGCTAAGTGAATAAATTAATGTTTGCTCCTTTCAAGTGGTAGAATTTCTTTTTAATGGGTTTTATTTGTGATATCACTAAAACAAAACATGATTTTACTGCCCTTTTTAAACATAATTTGATTCTTCTGATGACTTGCTGTTATCTGAGTTTCCATTCTTATATTGTGCTATAACAGCACATCAGCTTTTGGGTTTTCTGTCTCCTTCCTCCCTGTGATCTATCATTTCTTTCTGCTGTCAGTGTGTCTGCCTCTACAAGTTCTCCCCATCCCTCTTCAAGGGTAATCTGTCAGAAGAGCATCTGTGCCCAGTGACTTGATTTTTGGCCTCACCCACATACAGATAGATCATCCCATACACTTTATGCAGGGGGGCAAGGGGAGGAAAAAGAAGCATGACTTCAAATGGCAGGCATGGATTTTCTAATTCTAAGTATGCTGACAGCAGTACAGAACAAGAAGTTATAGCTGAAATTATGGTCATTTCAAATAAGACCATTCCCCTGTGGCTAGCACTTCAATAAAATACTGAAGATTTGATTTTGCTTAATTATGCTTTAATAAATTATATCACATAAGCTCCTTCATGGTAATTATGTTATAGGACAGGACACTGCTTGACATGCTTATGTCACTGATGTACAATTTATGACTTGCCAATTGCTGAGGAAAGGAGCTCTAAGACAGGCATAAATCACAGTACAGAGGCTAGATCTAGATTACCTGATGTTCCCCAGGCACTGTCTCGCCATTGATCACCCAGGAATATTCCTTTTGGTCCATCTTTGCTGGATTCATCTGTTTCCCAAAACTTTTTACCTGGCAAGAGCTGCTGCAAATTAAAAATAATAGACGCTTTTAAAGAATTCATAAAGGATGAAAGTACAGCAGTCAACACTTTCTTTTAGACAAGGGTACTGAAGATGCTCACGTGCCCTGGAAGTTTCCAGTCACAGTGTTCTGGCTACATAGACTGTGGTCAGAACACTTCTGTACGTTTGGCAAAAGTCACAGAGAGATCTACGGCAAGGGTGGCAGGTGGGGAGGGCCCTGCACAGATCAGGCCGTCACAATAGAGGCTCAGCTTAAATATCTACAACTTTTCACTTAACCTATGCCGAGATTTTTTAAAGGGGGAAAGGGGACTCATATTAGACCTATTAGCTAACTGCTTGCTAAGAAATCTCTTACTGAAAAAAGAAAAATACCTACAACTACTAAAACACTTTTGCCCACATATGTATTAACTGACCATACAGTTACTCAGAATGCTACAGGCAAAATCCACCTCCTTTATATACAGAGATTCTGTTAACTAAAAAACTTTCATCACCAGAAAGAAAAACACAAACAAAAAATACTTCCCAACCACATCATTAACCTATTCCAAAATTTTTGGAAAGACAGAATAGCTGTCTTTCCCCATTACTGGAAGAGACATAAAACCTCCTAACCTCAATTAATTTTAACAATACTTAGTAATGTCATTAAAGTGACTTCACAAAACATTCTATACTTCGTAGAAATGCAGGCATCACTGTCCATAAACTTACAATGTGAGAACTTTAAACTAGCTTCAACCAAAGAAATGCAAAGTAGCCTTCAAGCAAAACACAGTACAGTTTTACACAAGAGCAAAGCATTCGTGACCAGAGTTACAAAATAAAATTCCACTAGAATGCCATCATTCTTCATTCTGGTCATCAGCTTTACTTACTAAAATGTCCCTCTTTATTTCCTCTAATTATGTTTTCATTTCAGCTGCTACTAGTCAGACAAGAAACTCAGGTGTTTGAGATAGTACTTAATCACTGCTTTTGAGCATAAATGAGCACACCTGGGGAGTTGAATGTCTCAGAGGTACAGAGTTAAAACCCAGGAGGAACAAAACATTTGCTTTCCTCGATAATAAATGTCTATCTTTCCAATTTAAAACCCATAACCCAATGATAATGGAGGAATAACTCAACTTTGCCCTCACTAAAATAAATCTCAACTTTCCAAACAGAAATTCTACATTTCTCAGCATATTTTAAATCTAGTTAATCTAGCTCTATAAATCTGATAGACATGGGCTACTACTACCTGGACCAAAGCAGTTTCCCACACTTTTCTCTTCAGGTCCTAATTTATTTCTAAGCCAACAAGATCATGACAGAATACAGATTTGGGTCTGGCATTTTAATACACAGAAGCATAGATTTGCTTGAAGATAAGTAGTTATAAGCAGTCAATTCCTAGTGAGCCCCTTGGGTTCATTCTTTGGGGGAAACAATGAGAGAGCTTGTCTCTTAACTTGAAATTTGGGAAGCAGGGGAGGAACAAACAAGAGAAAGAGCCCAGACCATAATAGCTAAGTAGTGGAATAAGGAAGCCTTAGACCAGACAACTTGGATGTGTATCCTAGGACAAATCACTGAACTGTCCTGGGTGCCTCATCTCTTTGTACTGATAAAGGAAATATTTTCCAAGTTGTTGAGATGATTAGAAGTCCTGTTGATGAGTGCCTAGCACAATGCCTGCCACATATCAGGTTCTCAATAAATGTATTCAATGGCATTACATCAAGGCAAAATAGCTATAAATCACAGAAGGGACACTGCAAATTAATGAGAACTACTCAAGCACAATTCAAGAATTCTTGCTTTTAAACAACTTCTCCTTTTAGTCTCAAAAATGCCCTCTCAGAAGATTACAAACAGAATTTACTTCCCTATTGGTAGTCCCTTTCCAACTAACATTTTGATTTTTCTCCTCTATTTTGTAGGGAGTGTGAGCAAAGAGAAGTTCCCATTAACTTCTCTGTACCAGAAGAATGTCAGCATAAGGGACACCTCACTAGTTGGTTAATTTGTGGAAAGAGAGCAAAGGTGATCAAAAATATTCATTATAGTGCTCATCCCTCTCTACACAAATTGGAAAATCTTTATTCAAACCTCAAGGAAAAGATTGTGTAAGTACCAAACTCCATGTGCAAAATAATATAATCTGTCCATAGCTGGTCAAATTGCTTACTGAGAGTAGCAGTCCTTGAACTCAAGACTTCAAAAATGGCTTCTGGAATCCTGTCATCTTTCACTGTAGCTTGCCAGGCTGTCATAACACAAAGCTAGCAAAAGCAAGTGAACATATAAACAAGGCTGTTTCCAGATGAAATTCTCTCAAAGGAAACAACTATACTAGTACAACATAGAAAGTTACTAAAAAGTGAAGATTCTATTTAAAAGTAGGGATAAATGCAACAAATCTCATAGGAACACACATAAAAACTCATGACCCTAGTCAGATACCAAGAGGCCATATGTCCCACTATTAACAATTGGTATAAATATAAATCCTAAGTAGATGCTAGGAACAGCCCCAAAAGTACTAGAACTCCTTATGCTTTGGCAGAGTGGCAACAAGAAGATACAATTACTATATCAATGAAAACAGCAGGCACTGAAAAGGCAAGTCTGTAAGAGATAAAGAAAAAGGAGGTGGGAGAGAGGATGGCGGCATGCTGATTCTGGGAGAAAAAAGGTAGGAATTATGGGTTACAAGAGTGCCCTGCAAGTGGAAAGGAAAGGAAAAGTACTGCACCAAAGTAAGACAGACGCAAAGACAGAAGCAAACTTAGCAAACTTCTTCAGTCTCTGGATCTTACATGGAACCTACTACTTCTTTCTTTTGTCCAAAACATACCCATCCCCACTCTTCAGGTGTGTGGTAAGCAGCATTTGAAATGATTCCTCTGGTAATCTCTTTCTCTTTACTGTGGGCTAGACCTTGTGACTTGCTTCTAAGGAATAACATAAGGCAAAAGGGATGGGTTGTCTCTCTCAAGGTTGTCATAAAAAACTGACCAGTCTTGCCTCTACTTCTCTCTCTTACCCTCTTACATCTATCTTGCATGCTCCCTTTGATGAAGCCAGCTGCTGGAACCACAAGAGGTCACTGGGCATCAATTCATTATGAATTGAGGCCCTCACTCCAACTTGTAAGGAACTTAATCCTGACATCAACCATGTGAGTGAGCTTGGAGGCAGACTTTTCCCCAATTGACTTTGAGATGGCTGGCTGCAGCTCGCAAGGGACTCTAATATAGAGGTTCTTGCCAAGCGATGACTGGGTTCTTGACCTCCAGAAACTGTGAGGTTTAACCTGTGTTGTTTTAAGCCACTAAATTTTGGGGTAATTTGTCATGTAGCAATAGGTAACAGATACAGTTGTCAATATATAGTATTTTCTTATATTCAAAATACTTCTTCAAGAGTTTGACTTCAAGAAGCACTTCTTGTTCTAGTTCTAATACCCAAAATCCAAGTACTTTTGAATTTGGAAAAATTATATCCATTCCATTTTATGTTCTCCCTAATAGCCCTTATTTTTAAAATGACTGGCTTTTTTATATTCTCCTAAATCAAATCAACTCAGAGATGTTAAGCTCACTGACAATTAGTAGCAATCACATATTCAAGAGTCAACTAAAATACGTTACTGTTCAAAACTGATCATAGTAAAAGGAGCTATACTATAATCTACTGAATTATACAGCAAAGTGATGTTGAGTATCCAACTGTTATTTCAAATTCAGCAGCAACTTTCTGGAGGTTATGTCATTCACAGCACTGGCTAAAACATCCTAGGATTCACCAACCGACCAGCATAAATGCCAGGAGCTGCCAAACCTTCACTTAAACCACACTTCAATTCAATTACCAAAAACTGAAGTGCAACTAGTGGATAAAAAGAGTTATGCTTACCCCATCAAGAACTTGGAAATAAATACAGCTCTTTGTCAGAATAAAAAGGATCACAGCAGCCCTAACCGGTTTGGCTCAGTGGCTAGAGCGTCGGCCTGAGGACTGAAGGGTCCCAGGTTCAATTCCAATCAAGGGCATGTACCTTGGTTGCGGGCACATCCACAGTGGGGGGTGTGCAGGAGGCAGCTAGTCTATGTTTCTCTCTCATGATGGTTCTCCTTCATCGATGCTTCTAACTCTCTATCCCTCTCCCTTCCTCTCTGTAAAAAATCAATAAGATATATTTAAAAAACAAAAAAAGATCACAGCAGAGGTTTACAAACTTCACTTTAAAAAAATTTAGGTAAAAAGAGGATTAAAAGATTTGACAATTCTAAAAGAAGATAATGGGAATTAGGAATTGGTCTGATAAAAGCAAAGGAGGCCCAGGGAGTCAGATGTAGGCATTATTATCTAGTTGGCATGTTTATATATATGATGCACAAACAATTCTATCCTTATAAAAAGCAGTTAATGCAACAGGCTAGATAGTAGCTTGACTACAGCAGCTACTAAAAACATCCAAGTAACTTTCCTGGCTCAAAATCTGCTTACCAAGCAAACTTTTTATAAGAACTTGGCTTCCTCCTGTAGCCAAGCATGCTGATCACTGGATGCAATCCTCCTGTCCACTTTAGAGTTATTACTTCTCCTTATAAATTAGTAAACTACATTATGGTTTTCTTACATTAGTCTCTTGCAGTTCTGGTTAGCGTGGGTTAATTTCATAATCCAATCATCTATGATTTGCAGATTTAAAGCCCTTTCAAGGCTTACTAAGAAACAAGACTTGGGAGAGCCTACATCCTCCCAGCAACACAAGGACCTTGTACTCTTCTTTGTATTATCCCATTAAATGGGACTCCTAATCACCCCTCTGTTTTCAAATCTTTGGGAGAAACACACACACACTATTATCCCAGCTTGAACTATAGGTTTGTAAAAGAAAAGACTTAAAGAAGAAATCAAGCAAGCTTAGTCATGAGGCTTCTGGAGAACAAAACAGAAATCAAGCATTGGTTTACAAATACTACTATCTGCTTGGGAA